TAAACTGTTCCTGATTGTCATTTCAGCTCCAAGTGCCTGTATGGCTTGGTGCCGATGTACTAATAGGACCTAACTCGGATAAATCTCCAACAATTAATGCCACAGAATTCTTTAAACTATGCAATGAAAAGTTCCCCTATTCTACCCTGTTGCTGGGCTGGACTTCAGTACCCCCAGAGGGGAACCCCAACAAAAGGGGATACAAGTGGGCAGATGTAATTGAGATGCATGACCTAATCACTTCACATGATCTGCACAACCCTGTTGCAATTTCCATCAGAAGCGTGCTTACACAACACTCAGTGCCACAGATACGCTGGCTCAGCGACACCACAGACTCTTATCTCTATGTTTGGGATGATATAATGGACAGTACCCCATTGCTGGACATCCTATATATACGATATTTACTTCCTCGTTCAGATGTATATTACCATGTGTCAGAAAGACATAAGGAATATTTTCCTAAACACAGGGAGAGACCAGGTGGGTACTTGGACAAAGCTACACTGCAGAGAGCTCACAGACGCCTGTATTCTGAGGAATGGAAACAGTTTAATTATGGAACAAACTCCAGATTACTGCTGGGTACAGGATCTGCTGTTATGTCTGGGGAGAAGGCACTTTTAGTTCGTAAATTAAATACTGTGATAACCTCTACAAGTCCAGCGAGTATAACTGGAGTGGTTTACTTTGAACCAAGAGGAACTACAAAGACGGGTCCGGAGGATGGTCTGGAAATCTTCTTACGCACAAAAAACCCAGATGATTTGCATAAACTTAGAGCAGTTAAATGCTTCATAGGAACACAAGGAGCTATTAGTATTAAAACACATAATATGGTCAACATAGACCTCAAAGCTGAAGGGAAAGTCACACCCAGCTATGTGGGAACCTGCTACAGATTTGTGATCCTAGACTCTGGAAATACCATTTCTATCCACGTAAAAGTTCCCCCAGATTGTAATAAAATATTGAGCAATGAAGAATCAGATAGGACAACAGTTCTTCTTCAGACATCAAATAAAGTGTCTGAGGATGACTATAAGATAGTGGTCAGGACTAATACTCTGAATGTGTATGGCATCGTGGAAGAATTAATAATCCAGTAGTCACACACCATACATTTGAATTGACATTGGTATGTGACAGTGCACAATAGTTACACTGTAATGTGAAATACAAAAATGAAAAAATAACATACTCATTTTTGAGTGGTATTTTTTTATCAATTTCTTCTTAAATTTTGACAATGTAATATTGAAGATTTCCCAGTTTTAGAAGTCTTCTTTTAATATTTTGTACCTTTTTAGAATTTCTATATTTTTTTGTAATATTTGAAAGATTTTTTTTTTCAAATATCTAGTATCAGATTGAGAGAGGAATTCTTTCAAACAAGGCATTTTACTGAAGTCAAGTACATAGTGCTTATGTGAAAAACATTAAGTAAAGCTAACACATACGGTTAACCCCCTTAGATTTTTCAACTTAAAAGTTAACCAAAAATAGTTTGTGATTTATTGATGTATTATAGAAAAAAATTATTTGTGTGTGGTTGAATCCATTCTTTGTTTTTCTGATTGACTAACTTTGTGATACATTAATTTTTGTTTTACTTCATATAAATTGTAACTTAAGTTTGAGCCTGCATTTTATTCCCATATATTCCCATTGGCGCAAATGTTTCTTATTGAGGTGTATTGTGTTGCTGTTTTTTTATACTGCATTATAAAGCAATTTATTGTTGACAATTTACCATTTTACATTCCTTAAAAACTGTTCAAAACATCATACACAAGTACTATAACTGAGTTCAAATCCGCATTTTTATTAACTTGTTATACAGGGTTAAATAAACTTACACGTTTTCATATTCTTCACCAATTTGTGTCATGTTATTCAGTCCTGAGTTTCAGACACAACTGGCAACTCGGATCCTTTCCATCAGCTTGTACATTTTTGGGAACTGCTCATAGTAGTAACTAGAGAACCCAGCTACCCAGTGGTTTCTGAAACGTTCGGTGCAGCCTATCTTAACAATGAGGTATCGAAATTTTGTTTAGAACCACATATGCAAGTCACTTTCAAGTCATGTCAAAATCTCAAGGTATTTAGCACGGTCCGTACTCATTTCCCTGAAATGTTTAGAAACGGGAATGTTATGACAAATTCACCAAAATACCAGTTTCAAAAAATTTACCAGGTCTGTCAACTTGAGAGCAATGATGTGCCACCGTCTGCTTCTCTAACGCATTTCCCTTAAATTAGTGAAATCAATCCGCTGTGTTATTTATCTGGTGAAGTCAGTGTAAGGTAGTTAGTTCCTCTATCAAAAGTTATTTTCATCGAAAATTATTGAAGTCCTGTATATAAAGATTGTATTCAACCCTTAGTTACCCAAAGAAGCTAATCGGTGAACAAAGAACTATTTGTCATCTGCGGATGTATATTCCTCACTAAGTGGTGCGTCAGGTGTAAACAATCAGCCGGTGCGAGCATGGAGTAACTATGCGAATAAGTGCCCAGGTTTGTAGGAGGATTATTCTTAAACGTAACTTGTCCGATACGAAATTTTATGTTACATTATCGGATCTTACGTTTTTAAATGTTACTTTTGTAGGTGATACGCTCCCGGGCTAAGGGTGCGCCACAGACCCTTCAGTATTTGGACTTGTCAAACTTGGAACTTGGTAAGTTAATTTGTTGGGTGTCAAAGCTAATCCTCAGTAACACGGTACAACTGCTGTGTATTTTGGAACCCCACTCAGAGGGTAGGTTTAATGTATCAAGCACCAAAATACAACATCAATTTAGGGCAGATGACAGACATTTATAAACGAGCCCATGTTGGTAAAATCATTACTACATGTAATATACAAAACCCAATAGTAAATGATATTATAATGGAAACTTCAGGTAGCTGTGGTTTTTCTACCTGATCATTATTAGCATTGTTGTTAATTTATTTTTATATTTAGATGTACACTTGCAAAGATTGGATATATTTACCTCTAGAGACATTCATTTTGCCAAACCTTTATTATTTTTATTATGCTATATATGCTTATATATAGTAACTGAAAGCCTTAGGAAAGTACAAATTGACATTTAATTACTTGTTGCTCAACTTTTCAAAATTTTGTCTTTGGTTTGTGACAAGGTTTGTCTGAGAAATTTCTTACTTGTCTTTCTTACTTCAGTGTGTTAACAAGCAAACTTTTTTTTTTGGGGGGGGAGGGGTAAAGGAGCAATAAAATGGTATATGGTAAAAGGGGAGTGGAGTGGCATTGATAATTGATAGGTGTTCTGTTAAAGCATGCAGTAGTTCATGTGTCTTGTCAAAAAAAAAAAAAAAGGTATATCTCAAATGCTTAATTCTATTTCGTTTCTANGGGGACCTGCTACAGATTTGTGATCCTAGACTCTGGAAATACCATTTCTATCCACGTAAAAGTTCCCCCAGATTGTAATAAAATATTGAGCAATGAAGAATCAGATAGGACAACAGTTCTTCTTCAGACATCAAATAAAGTGTCTGAGGATGACTATAAGATGGTGGTCAGGACTAATACTCTGAATGTGTATGGCATCGTGGAAGAATTAATAATCCAGTAGTCACACACCATACATTTGAATTGACATTGGTATGTGACAGTGCACAATAGTTGCACTGTAATGTGAAATACAAAAATGAAATAATAACATACTCATTTTTGAGTGGTATTTTTTTATCAATTTCTTCTTAAATTTTGACAATGTAATATTGAAGATTTCCCAGTTTTAGAAGTCTTCTTTTAATATTTTGTACCTTTTTAGAATTTCTATATGTTTGTGTAATATTTGAAAGATTTTTTCAAATATCTAGTATCAGATTGAGAGAGGAATTCGTTCAAACAAGGCATTTTACTGAAGTCAAGTACATAGTGCTTATGCGAAAAACATTAAGTAAAGTTAACACATACAGTTAACCCCCTTAGATTTTGCAACTTAAAAGTTAACCAAAAATAGTTTGTGATTTATTGATGTATTATAGAAAAAAATTATTTGTGTGTGGTTGAATCCATTCTTTGTTTTTCTGATTGACTAACTTTGTGATACATTTATTTTTGTTTTACTTCATATAAATTGTAACTTAAGTTTGAGCCTGCATTTTATTCTCATATATTCCCATTGGCGCAAATGTCTCTTATTGAGGTGTATTGTGTTGCTGTTTTTTTATACTGCATTATAAAGCAATTTATTGTTGACAATTTACCATTTTACATTCCTTAAAAACTGTTCAAAACATCATACACAAGTACTATAACTGAGTTCAAATCCGCATTTTTATTAACTTGTTATTCAGGGTTAAATAAACTTACACGTTTTCATATTCTTCACCAATTTGTGTCATGTTATTCAGTCCTGAGTTTCAGACACAACTGGCAACTCGGATCCTTTCCATCAGCTTGTACATTTTTGGGAACTGCTCATAGTAGTAACTAGAGAACCCAGTTACCCAGTGGTTTCTGAAACTTTCGGTGCAGCCTATTTTAAAAATGAGGTATCGAAATTTTGTTGAGAACCACATATGCAAGTCACTTTCAAGTCATGTCAAAATCTCAAGGTATTTAGCACGGTCCGTGCTCATTTCCCTGAAATGTTTAGAAACGGGAATGTTATGACAAATTCACCAAAATACCAGTTTCAAAAAATTTACCAGGTCTGTCAACTTGAGAGCAATGATGTGCCACCGTCTGCTTCTCTAACGCATTTCCCTTAAATTAGTGAAATCAATCCGCTGTGAAGTCAGTGTAAGGTAGTTAGTTCCTCTATCAAAAGTTATTTTCATCGAAAATTATTGAAGTCCTGTATATAAAGATTGTATTCAACCCTTAGTTACCCAAAGAAGCTAATCGGTGTACAAAGAACTATTTGTCATCTGCGGATGTATATTCCTCACTAAGTGGTGCGTCAGGTGTAAACAATCAGCCGGTGCGAGCATGGAGTAACTATGCGAATAAGTGCCCAGGTTTGTAGGAGGATTATTCTTAAACGTAACTTGTCCGATACGAAATTTTATGTTACATTATCGGATCTTACGTTTTTAAATGTTACTTTTGTAGGTGATACGCTCCCGGGCTAAGGGTGCGCCACAGACCCTTCAGTATTTGGACTTGTCAAACTTGGAACTTGGTAAGTTAATTTGTTGGGTGTCAAAGCTAATCCTCAGTAACACGGTACATCTGCTGTGTATTTTGGAACCCCACTCAGAGGGTAGGTTTAATGTATCAAGTACCAAAATACAACATCAATTTAGGGCAGATGACAGACATTTATAAACGAGCCCATGTTGGTAAAATCATTACTACATGTAATATACAAAACCCAATAGTAAATGATATTATAATGGAAACTTCAGGTAGCTGTGGTTTTTCTACCTGATCATTATTAGCATTGTTGTTAATTTATTTTTATATTTAGATGTACAGTTGCAAAGATTAGATTTATTTACCTCTAGAGACATTCATTTTGCCAAACCTTTATTATTTTTATTATGCTATATATGCTTATATATAGTAACTGAAAGCCTTAGGAAAGTACAAATTGACATTTAATTATTTGTTGGACTTGCCCAACTTTTCAAAATTTTGTCTTTGGTTTGTGACAAGGTTTGTCTGAGAAATTTCTTACTTGCCTTTCTTACGTCAGTGTGTTAATAAGCAAACTTTTTTGGGGGGATAAGGGGAGGGGAAAAGGGGCAATAAAATGGTATATGGTACAAGGGGAGTGGAGTGGCATTGATAATTGATAGGTGTTCTGTTAAAGCATGCAGTAGTACATGTGTCTTGTCAAAAAAAAAAAAAAAAAAAAAGGTATATCTCAAATGCTTAATTAAACTTTCTTCATAATTATTTTCAAAAGGTACTCCAATTTAATTACTCTGAGTAGTTGAAGTTCAAAACACAAATTTGAAAGATATGATGACATTGACGTTATAATTTTGATGAATTTCTTTTTTCAGTATGGAACCAAGTTTTTGCATAAGCAGTTGGTGACGGTCTCATTTCAATCACTCACGTGCCACCCCTTTGTTTTTTTACTACCAAATTACAGTTATTTCTAAATTTATTTAGATTATTTGAATATGTTTCGAAATAAAACTTTCCTGAACAAACTCAAATTTTACTGCATTTTCATTCTTCTTAATTGCCAGACATATAGAACAGTACTTTTTTGGCAGATGTACCTATTTTTGCATGACACAAGTAACCAGGGTTCAATAATGATTCCAAAATGAAATCAAGCTTTGTAATCCTTTACTGAATGATACATACATCTGTATATAATGCATTCTAATTTTTGTCTTTCTCTTCAAGCACTGCTGGGGGTATAAATGGAAACTAAGGTTATCATTTAACTCAACTTTTTAATCAAGTTGCAGGGCTAAGCTATCTGTGCAGTGTGGCTGTTCAAGCAAGTTAGATAAGATTTGATTTATACTGCATTTTATTTTCAGTGGCTATTGAAAAGATAGACCATTGTGCTAAACTGCACACTCTAATATTACAAGGCAACAACATTGACACTGTGAGTAATTTGTCTAACTGTCAGCAGCTATGGAAATTAGACCTTAGTAATAACCAGGTAAGGGCTCTAAAACTTAAAAAAATATATGGACTTTAGACTGTTTGTTATTGAATCGCAGCAAGTTTGATTATAAGTTTGATTTCAAATGATTATAAATTCATTTTTTTCAGTGCAGTTAATAATACGATAACTTAACCACTTGTTAATTATGCTTAGAGTGGATTTTTTTTGTGAGAGCTAAGATATGTCTCTCAAGTAAACAGTATACAATGAAAATTTCTCCCCATAATTCTTCTGCTCTGAAAATAAAGTTTTTATTAAAATGAATGTACATCACCTGTTTCAGATCAGAAATCTTGAGGGACTGGACCGTTTTATAGCTCTGGGTACTGTGGTGCTGACCAATAATAACTTGACCTGGGCTGAGCTGGGAAAGCTGCAACATATACACATTATAGATCTCAGCTTACAGGGAAACCCACAGCTAGAGAAGGACCCTTATTGTGAGTTTTGATCTACTTTTTTTGTGCTGTAAAATATACAATAAAGATAAAGGAATAACACATAATAAAATGCTTTTTAGGTTACAGTTTACAAGTTTAATTTGAGACTCCATACATAGGTATGAGTATATTGGATGGCAGTAAGTCTTATTATAAAAAAATCACTACTTATTTTGTGATTATTGATTCAGAGTGAAAAAAATGGACTACATTTGAGAATAAGAAAGAAAAACAAAATGAATACATTCATACAAATGATTTTTTTCAACAAAACGTTGTGTTATGCTTTATATGCACAATGGCAGAGGCATCATTCATAATTCTCACTAAAACTCGTCACTTATTGTACCACCAGCGTTAGCGCTGGCGGTACACATGGTTTTAGTCCCGACCAGATCGTTCCGCCGGCTCCGCCAGCTCCAACAAGTTACCGTTACCGCTTCTCCTCCTAGTTTCATCTTTGTTTTGTACCTATGTACAGTAAAGGTAACACAGCCTCCTAGCACCTCATGTTGCAAAAAGATATTGGTATTAACGGCTATTCAACACTTTCAAAGGGCTCTTTTTGCCATTAAGTACTTTGAAAATGCTTCATAGTGTCTGACTTAGGGCTTAGAAATGCATGGGTAAACCCCATAACTTCCATAAGTGATAGTAATTGAAAGCCACTTCTAAAGAAGTTGATTGATTATGCATCGTTNAAACTTTCTTCATAATTATTTTCAAAAGGTAATCCAATTTAATTACTCTGAGTAGTTGAAGTTCAAAATACAAATTTGAAAGATATGATGACATTGACGTTATAATTTTGATGAATTTCTTTTTTCAGTATGGAACCAAGTTTTTGCATAAGCACATAGTTGGTGACGGTCTCATTTAAATCACTCACGTGCCACCCCTTTGTTTTTTTACTACCAAATTACAGTTATTTCTAAATTTATTTAGATTATTTGAATGTGTTTCGAAATAAAACTTTCCTGAACAAACTCAAATTTTACTGCATTTTCATTCATCTTAATTGCCAGACATATAGAACAGTACTTTTTTTGGCAGATGTACCTATTTTTGCATGACACAAGTAACCAGGGTTCAATAATGATTCCAAAATGAAATCAAGCTTTGTAATCCTTTACTGAATGATATGTACATCTGTATATAATACATTCTAATTTTTGTCTTTCTCTTCAAGCACTGCTGGGGGTATAAATGGAAACTAAGGTTATCATTTAACTCAACTTTTTAATCAAGTTGCAGGGCTAAGCTATCTGTGCAGTGTGGTTGTTCAAGCAAGTTAGATAAGATTTGATTTATACTGCATTTTATTTTCAGTGGCTATTGAAAAGATAGATCATTGTGCTAAACTGCACACTCTAATATTACAAGGCAACAACATTGACACTGTGAGTAATTTGTCTAACTGTCAGCAGCTATGGAAATTAGACCTTAGTAATAACCAGGTAAGGGCTCTAAAACTTAAAAAAATATATGGTCTTTAGACTGTTTGTTATTGAAACGCAGCAAGTTTGATGTGTATTCTGCTGGTGTATACATTTCAAATGATTATAAATTCATTTATTTCAGTGCAGTTAATAATACGATAACTTAACCACTTGTTAATTATGCTTAGAGTGGATTTTTTTTTGTGAAAGTTAAGATATGTCTCTCAAGTAAACAGTATACAATGAAAATTGCTCCCCATAATTCCTCTGCTGTGAAAATAAAGTTTTTATTAAAATGAATGTACATCACCTGTTTCAGATCAGAAATCTTGAGGGACTGTTTTTAGACAGTCTTTAGACTGTTTGTTATTGAAACGCAGCAAGTTTGATGTGTATTCTGCTGGTGTATACATTTCAAATGATTATAAATTCATTTATTTCAGTGCAGTTAATAATACGATAACTTAACCACTTGTTAATTATGCTTAGAGTGGATTTTTTTTTGTGAAAGTTAAGATATGTCTCTCAAGTAAACAGTATACAATGAAAATTGCTCCCCATAATTCCTCTGCTGTGAAAATAAAGTTTTTATTAAAATGAATGTACATCACCTGTTTCAGATCAGAAATCTTGAGGGACTGGACCGCTTTATAGCTCTGGGTACTGTGGTGCTGACCAATAATAACTTGACCTGGGCTGAGCTGGGAAAGCTACAACATATACACATTATAGATCTCAGCTTACAGGGAAACCCTCAGCTAGAGAAGGATCCTTATTGTGAGTTTTGATCTACTTTTTTCTATGCTGTAAAATATACAATAAAGATAAAGGAATAAGACATAATAAAATGCTTTTTGGGTTACAGTAAGTTAAGTTTGAGACTCCATACATAGGTATGAGTATATTGGATCGCAGTAAGTCTTATTATAAAAAAAGATCACTACTAATTTTGTGATTATTGATTCAGAGTGAAAAAAATGGACTACATTTGAGAATAAGAAAGAAAAACAAAATTAATACATTCATACAAATGATTTTTTTCAACAAAGCGTTGTGTTATGCTTTATATGCACAATGGCAGAGGCATCATTCATAATTCTCACTGTAACTCGTCACTTATTTCAACATTGTTTTGTACCTATGTACAGTAAAGGTAACACAGCCTCCTAGCACCTCATGTTGCAAAAAGATATTGGTATTAACGGCTATTCAACACTTTCAAAGGGCTCTTTTTGCCATTAAGTACTTTGAAAATGCTTCATAGTGTCTGACTTAGGGCTTAGAAATGCATGGGTAAACCCCATAACTTCCATAAGTGATAGTAATTGAAAGCCACTTCTAAAGAAGTTGATTGATTATGCATCGCTGTGCTTGTATTTGTTATCAAATTGATTGCCAGTTGATTGCAATGCAAGAGACATGGTTGAATGGTTTCTATGCAAGGGCATATGCCAAAGCACTTCTCTGATTCTTCTTTTGTTGTTAAGCTCATTTCCTGGCACTAAAATGTGAAAAGCTTTTTCTATTTCATGATTTATTCATAAATTTCCTCTGCAGATCGCATTCATGTGATAGATTGTTTGCCTAATGTATGGATGCTAGATGGGAGAATCATTACATGTAAGTATTTAAATATTTTTCAATTGCAATATTATTATTATTATTATTATTATTATATTAGTTTTATTTATGTACCATTATCTTTCTCCTCCAGATTTTGATTTAATAATGGCTTCAATTTTATCTAAAATTAGGAATTCAAAGCTAAAAACTGTAGTGATCAGTTGATATCAGGAAATTTGGACGATTTGTTTAGATTGTACTTAAGAATTAATTTCTGTGGAACAAGCTTTGTTTGATAGTGCAGGCACGCAGGTGGAATGTTTCATACAAGAGACTTTCCCTGTCTGGAACATCTTCAAATTTAAAACAAATAGATAAACTCTTCATTTGTAGGGGTAGTGTGTCTCATCATTTTTCAACTTGTGGATTGAAGCCTGAAAGATTTTTAGAAAGTATCCCAAAGGTCAACCTGGACTCAAAATTATTAGGCCTACCTCCCAAATCCAGGAATTTTAAAAACCTCTTCAGAAGCTGCTCAACATTAGAAAATGGGTGCCAGCATCCACTTGAAAAATGTTGTGCACCACTGCTCTTACCCACTCTATTGATTTCTAGTATTTTACCGTACGATTTGTCAATATTTGACACTCTATCAATATTAAGTCCAAACAAAATCATTTTATGAAGTAGAGTACAGAAGCAGGAGGGAGATTAAGAGTAAATAAACAGTTTGACTGCTTGAAAGCTTCTGGATTAACTTTGATAAAAATCAACAGTGGTTGTCAGGGTTATGTAGACCTGCATATAGTCATTGCTGGATTTTAGGATATCAGCAGTCAGTAACAAACAAATCAATAAATCATGCCTTATGTTAGGAGAACTCCTTAATCTGTCTTGGTGCCTTAAATCTTTTAATTTGGCTCTCCGTAAACCACTTGATTCTTTGATAAGTAAGCTGTAAGTGCAATTCAAGAAAGTGCTAGTTGTTTACTCTGAGCTTGGTCCAAATCTCTAAAGATATTAAAAATGAAGCAAAAATAGCATGAAAATCTGATAATCGCTAGAGCTGATGTTTGCACAATTTCTGCCATTTTGAAATTATTGAATTTTCTCCTATAGTTCTTAAGTGAAAAGCAAATTTGTATCCATTGAGAAACTGTATTGAAATCTTTAAATTCTAAGTCATATGGATGTAAATGCACCATTTTTCATACCTCCTTTCACAAAACAAACAAGACTTGGTTCTTGTCCAAACAAGGGGTAAGCATAATGTACAAGGTGCACCAAGGCATTGTATTATGTTGAACTATGAATCAAACTGTCAGGACAAATGGTTTATTGTTTAAATGGCAAAGGTGTTAGATGAATGTATTTTTATTTTTCTTGAGAAGCTCTGTTTATTATAATAATAACCAAATTGTACTGATGGGGTTTACATTTCAATTCTTGTTTTCTGTACATAGCAGGTTATCCTAACTCCTCTAAAATCCAAAATAATACAGCTTTCCTAACTTATAACACCTTGTTTTCTTTTCAACTGCACCAGAAAGATTTGAGCACTAGATAGTAAGACAAGGTTTGGGCAAAATGTCAGAGGTCAAAATGTGTTAGGGAATTCGTTGAATAAATTTTGTTTTAATATGCTGCTTGAAGGTTGTAGAGAGCATGGGAATATGGTTGCATTTCACAAAAAATGAAAAAAATTTATACCATTTTATTTTTGTATTATTATAAATTCTACTTTCAATGTAGCATTTATTTTTCAGTGAAATATTCATTGAAGCATATATATATTTGTATTTTTTACCTTTAGTCTTACTGGCAAGATATGTAGACCTACACTAGATATTCTGTAAATTCTTTTCTTTGATTTGACACTCTGTATTGACTCATTATTGCCTATAATTATTTTTTTCAGCTGCTGAGCGTCTGCAGGTGCAGCATTTTTTCCAAGACTCTGCTCTCACAGATCACCCTGTGGTAAGTTCTTTTTTTTTTTTTATTTTATTTTTTTTTTTTGCATGATAGAAGAAAAACATTCTGTCATCTGTTCTATTATGAAAATTATTATAGATATTTGGAAAACTGTACCAGTTATTTTTAACTTTTTTAATTGATAGAAAGAAATCGATACAAGATATTTTTAAAGATAATTTTGCCATCTCAGAAAAAGAAAATAATGGCAAGTAACTAGCCTTACCTTATTTCCCAGAACTAAATTATGGCCAAGAGTTGATTATAGTATCTTAAAATCAAAGATCTATAAATAACCATACTCTTAAAGAGTATTTTTGAATTGCCTGTGATCAAAAGCACAGATTTCAATCATATAATTACCTGGTAAAGTGCTAATAAGACAAGACGCTAAATACACACGCACTTGATGCCATTTGTAGTATTGATGATTGTGACGTAACAGTCATTTCATATACCAGCTTATGGATTAAGTTGGATAATACCCTGGCAGTGGCGTCATGAGTGCATTTTGTCATGAAATATCAGTGTTAGTTTAAGAAATCTGTGTGTTTGCAGTTCATTGTTCCCTTAACGTGGACTGTATTTAATGAAGTAATCAGACATTTGATGTGAAAAATTTTCTTAAGATAGATCCAAGGCATTGTGTTGTATGTTTTAAAGTTATTTTCTTAATGTTGCCATCTAACATGCTTAGGCTCAAATTTAAAAGCCAATGCATCTTTTTGTTTTACTAAAAAGTTTTAAAAGAACTGTTCTTAGAATCAGATGTCATTCTTTTATTTTATTCTCTAATTTGAAAAATCATCTGTTGACAACAGTAAGATACGATAGTATTTCAGTTTTACATGAGAGGGAAAACAGCGAACCTTGGTGAACCTATATAACAGGGGTTTATAAAAAGAAAGCAGTAATTTGGTGAGAGTAGATCAAAAGTACATTTTTAATTGATTGGCATTTTTATTTTCAGAGACACAAATTAGGAAGTCGGCAGTTTGTGCCCTCCTCTCATAAAAAGATTCAAATCAATGGAATATATGGAGAAAAGGTTAGAATGATGAGTTTGCAAAAAAAAAAAAAAAAAAAAAACTCACTCAATCACACACTTGTAATCTTTGTCAGTGTGATAATTGTACCACAGTGGCTGTTATTTATAACTTATCACTAATAATTAGTGTAATAAGTAAATTGGATGTAAAGCATTGATGTAAATTAATTTTGTTTGAATAATAAAGTATATCTGTTCACCTAGGTGATATATTTTAATCTGTTTTAGACGGTGGAATTGTTCAGAAGATTTCCAGTTGATGGTGCTATTAATGTTGGTAAGTTTAATCATTTACCATATTTTCTTATGTTAGTATACATTTGGCATTTTTGTTATGATATTTTACGATAAATTTTCAAATCTTGATGTGATTTTGCACTATTTGAAGCACAGGTTCAAAAATTTTGTCTATTAGGCATATATTAAGTATAAGACTGTGTACTTAGACCTACATTTTTATAGATCTCTTTTCCCTGGTCCAATGGACATTGTGTGAAATTTAATGACATGATCTTTTATTTTCAGACACTGACAAAAAGAGGCTCAAGTATATAGCTTACAATCTGCAGGAAGATATGATCTTAGAAAGTAGATGTTGTGGCAAGTAAGTAGAGGATGAATAACTTGAAGGTGCATTTCTTTTCCGACGTAAATATAATTGTTGTGTTTCTCTGTGTTTCACTGCAGCAGCACCTCCTGGAGAGTGATTAGTACCTCTTAATTTAATAGCACATATTTACTGTCTTTGGCTCATTCAAAACTGAACCTTAGACAACTGTTTATTGAAAAATTAAAGATGTTTATCTGCATAATTTATCATCACATCAGATGAAGTCATGTAATCCACCTGCATGATTGTTTCGTGATTATGAAGTCTTGCCATATTTTCCAGAAAATACAAAATCCTCAATTATGACCAGAACTTTCTTGAAGAGTTGCTGGAAGAACGTGCCAAAGACAGGGAGAGGGGAAACATGTTCCTGTTGCTCTTGGTGGTAAGTTGACTGCTGACACTTGCTTTTGTGTAATTTTTTTTCATTCTGTTGAGAAATGCATTAATGCCACATTGTATCATATATTATATTTAAAAGGTACATTGTTTTGCAGTGTTCTGCATCATGACCCCGTTGTTAGAGTTTTGGTGTTTGTTAACGTGAATTCTGAAACTGTTTTTTTATGTGTGTGTCTATGTGTGTGTGTTTTGCAAAATTAATTAATAAATAGTTGACAGCTGCACCATTGTAAATTACCCAAGTTATTACTTTTTTCATTACCACATTGCCTTAGAAGACAAATGGCTTGCACATGTGATATATTTCTGTTACCATTTCTATTTTATAAAAGATCTCTCCATAAGTTCAGCCAACGCATTAATTTCTTGTATGTTTTTATGTTAGGCCACCTTAGAGTTTGCCATGCCAACACAATTAATCAAAGAAACACTTGATGTGGCCAAACTGAGTGAAATTGGGTAAGTGGATGTTGAGAAGGACATCTAGAATAATTTTTAATTTCAAATTTATATCAAAAATGTCAGTTGACAGGGCAGATGTGTCAGTGCAAGGATTAACCTATCTGGCAGACAAAATAAAATTTTTTTATGAACGATAAGGGAGAGGAGCATAACCCTTGTCAAATGATAAACTAAATTTTGTGATTTTTGATTTTTTTATTACAGGAAGATAAAAAGTCTAGACCTTTTTCTTCTTCCCAGAGAAGTAAGGTGCTCAGTGGTTTCACTTTTGCTCAGTGCAGTCAAGGTGGACAAGGATGAAAAAGAGGTAAATTATAACTATTAAAATATGTACAATTTATTGGTTTTGTGCTTATTTTGTCACAGGTTTTTTGCTTATAGAAAGCTTATGATTTAAGACACGTTTGAAAAAACATATTTCAAATTAAAATAATATAGTAAAATTGTAAGCATAAATGTTAAATATTAGCTGAAGAGTGTTCATTGTCAATGTGTTTCTCATCCTAGTATGCTGCTATATTAATCCTTGTTGTTAATTGATAAATGTACTTGTAATTCTGATGTTGTGGCCACTTTCCTTCATTAGGCTGCTTTTCCACAATGGCAATGCAAGGTATTGGGTATAATGCTTGTTATGATCTTTTTCAATGATATAACTTTTTTTCTAATACTGCATGAATGATTATAATCTATTCTTTAATGTGCCTTATAAATTATTATGATTATTATTATTATTAATTAAAGTGTTTATTTTAAGACGATTTCATTTAATTTCTGTAGTTTTGCAGTGCATGTATTGTGTTTCATTAGACAGCTAATGTTAGACAGCTAGGGCCAGCAGTTAGTGCCATTTTCCAGTTTTACTTATCTATTTAAGTGCATTAAGACATCACAAGTAATTATCATAAATTTACTCAGAAGCACAACCTGTCCTTATTATTACATCTGTGAGCACACATTGTAATGTAAGGCTTTAGTTGTGCTGTTTATACCTGTTTGATATAACAGAATGCATGTTAAGAAGGTATTGATAATCAGCATGGTTTGTCCAGCTAATTTTAGTAGTAGAACAAAGGGTGTTTGCATGCTAATTAATATTAATTAAAAAACAACAACAACAAATATTAACATACATCTTGTTGAGTCATATAAAGAGATTCCTATAACATTTTTTAAAACAGATTTTGTTACTGTTTTGTGAGAAGTGGTTGGATGAAAATTAATATGAGTTCTAAATTACTGGGTAAGATGTTTGCCTATGAGGAATGATAAGAAGTCCCTGTTGATCTGGTTAAACAGTGACTGGCCTGGACAACAGTATTTTTGTTTTCAGTCATCTGTCATTGAATGTTTCAGTATGCATGTTCGAGTATGTCTATTCAATATGAGCAAAACAGATGTGTATTTGTTTACTTATTCTGAATATATCCTGTTTATTTTATTATTTTATTTTATTTATTTATATTTTTGACCCAAGCACACACTTTGGATACTTCTTTTAACATGTCAAGTATGAAATTTACAAGGTTCTTGCAGAATGTGTTACAATCATGGTTTGTTTGACTTGACTTATGGCTGTGTTTAAATTTTTTTCAGGATGGAGGTTTGTACGACCGTCTCTACCTGTGTCTGTACTACACTGTATCAGAATTAGCCAGACTGGGGAGATCTAGAGGTTCCTCCTCTGCATCTGCTGCCAAGTCAAGTGATATGTAAGGACATGTTGATGTATCTGATATCAGTAATCCTCATAGCTTTATGCCAATAGGTTGGCACTATATAATGATATACTTATACCACAATTAATCATGTTCCACCTTTTGTGTAAATAAAGGGGTACCCTTATTAATTTTAAAAATTAATATATACCATTTTTTTGTTAATTAAGAAGCATATAATGTGTCCAAACCTTTGTCTCACTCAGTTATGTATCTTGGAGATATTCTTGAAAATTGAATGGGGAAGAATCATATACCCATAAAAAATCTCAATGACAAGTAGTAGGTTTTTGTAGATTTTTGGTATTTAGAGCTATTGATTTCTGTTCACTTCTTTAAGGCAAATGTACACTTAAATAAGTGAAAACATTATGTCAGGTAAACAAGTGTAAAGGTCAATCCATACATTTGACACTTTGGAGCATTTCCATTCATGCTTAGTTGTTTATTTTCCAGGTACAAAGACTACAGGTGTCTCCTGGCCTCAGAGGTTGTCCAACTATTATGTATTGTGCCTGCTTTCTTTGATTTCCTGGACAAAGACGTTGGTATGTCTATTGAATTGTAAAATATTGATGAATAAATCATTTGCATGTTTTTTGTGTGCTTTTAGATTAGAATATTGATGAATAAGCTATTTAAACATAAACTGAGTTAAGGGTTAGATGCAGGGTAGCTACTTCAACTAAAAATTTCCAGATATGCCTAGGATATAAGTATGCAAATATGGAGGTTAGCCAATGAAAAAGTGCCTTCATTGAGTTAGAAGCTCAAAGTATTTAAACAAATAAAAGCGCTGCTTTTTTGTTTGTATTTTGTTTTAATATTCAGATATGTTATTCTTAAAGATAAATTTCAAAATATAGCTTGCATAATTTATGCTCACTTTATCCAATAGGTGTTATGAATCTTGTCGCCACAGCAACAGGGGACTACCATATCTGTGATAAAGTGACAGACTTAGCTGAGTCGGTGAGGCAGAGAGGGGTAAGATAAAACAGATACTGACAAATATTTTGTGCATATTTCTATGGGTTTTGCCTTTGTTTTCTTTGGACAGAAAATTTCAGTTTTTTATCTTGCACTTTAATGAGATATTGAATATATGCTTTTAACAGTCTGTAATATGTAAACATATTTTTTATTGGTTATATATATTTGTTTGTATTCCAGGGTAACCTAAAAGCCATATACGAGCATGCTGCTGATTTTGTTCTCAATGCTGTGCAGGAAAACACCCTGAATCTAGCAAATAAAGGTTTTAGGAAGAAGAAAGTGGACCATGTTTTAACAGTAAGTACATCATTCTGATTGTAATATTGTGTGAATTATTAGAATTCCTCCACTTCAAGATAGGTGAGGGAGGTATTTACTTTTGTTGATTGAGGAAGGTTTTGATTTCATCAGCATTGGTTTGTTTGTGGAGAAGATATCTCTGAAGGGTTCTGTACAAATATTGATGAACATTTCAGGAGAAGCAGTCATTTGGTAGGAAAACAAGTAGTGGCAATTAAATCCAGATATCTTAATATTTTAAAAATAATTAAAAAATTTTATTCCATTATTATCATTGTCTTTATTATTATTATTCACTTAGACTGAGGTCTGCTCTCTAGTTAAGACCTATTTTCACTTTGAACCTCTTAAAATGTTCAAATGATTTACACATGACACATTCTTATGAATATACCTTTGATTTCAGTCAAAGCCTGCTTACCCCAAGAGGCCCCAGTCCTCCCCCTTAGTAGCCTCAGAGTACCACATGAGGGGGCGGTCCACTCCCATGAGGCAGTACAGGATACAGAGCAGCAAACCTGCAAGGCAAACAGAGAAGAAACCCAGTGAGTTCATTTTCCATTTTTGAACCAGGTTTTACCTTTAATTATATCATATTATTTTTTTCCCACAGATCCATTATGGTTGTATGATAATGAAAGCTATGAAAGGCCTGATTGGTCTTGTTGTTAGTTATTGAAGCTTTTGTACTTGTCAAGCTAGTTCTTATGGTTTTTACTTCAGAATTAAATTTGTTCTTGTGTGGATCCTTATATGTGTAATAGAACCTTTGAGAAAAAAAAAACAACTTAGATTGATTGCAATTATTGAATCATTTCTCTTTACCCATATCTGTCAACAAATTTTAAGATGTAGATAGTCCTGTAAAAATGTGTACACTGAACTTTACAGAACTTGGTGAAAGAATTCTTCTGGGACCCCAGAATGTGGCGCGTGTCATGTCTATTCCACAGACTGATATAGCTCTGGTACAGATGGATGTAGTAGCAGGTAAGGCTTTTGTTCATTTGATAGTTTTTTTTTCTTTTTCACTTTTGTTCAAGTATAATAGTGGTGTCCATTTCAAGACTGTATTTATACAGGTGGGGGATTCCTGTGTGCAGAGAATGAATGGGAAGATTATTTTTTCTGTCTCAAGACTGAATGATGCCAAACAATGTTCAAGCATAAACATTTTACAATTTTTCCCTTAATATATGTCATGAAAAAATACCTTAATGCTCAAGTTTTTTAAAACTAAAAATCATTTGATTGGCTTCTGTCTCATGTACTCAGATGCTTGTGTTTTTGGTGTGCTTACAAAATCTAGTTTTCATATTTTGTTCATTTTAGTAAAGATACTTTCAGTTTGCTTTTTACTTAGTCACTGTAGATATTTCTGATGCTTAAGTAGTTGTCTCATTAACTTATATCATTTCTCTTTAGTAAAAAATACTTATATTACATCCCAAACTAGATTTTGATTTGTTAAATTTATTGGTATTATAATAAGCACCAACATTTTTCTAATGCATTGGGAAAACTTTTGAGTTTCTTGTAGTAAGGCCTGTTTACACCAGGGTAATCTTATGGAACTGTATTACATGTGTAATATCAGTTTTTGGACAGTCAAAAACAACACAGACCATATAGTCACCTTGGAATGCGTCTTCTTGATACAAAGATGGCTGCCCAGACTGTCCTCTTGAAGTGTTTATCGACACAACACGGATATTTATATCTAAATTTCATCACAAATGTAGGCTGTTTATTGGACTTGAACTATTTTTGGTTTAAGTTAAACCTGGTGGAAACAGGCCTGTACTTTGCTTTCATTCTAAAGCTTGACATTGTTGTTTCCCCCACTCCAGGCCCCCACTGGAAAGAGAGTGAGAAAACCCCAGCAGATATGGTCACTTTCACCAGAGATACCATGGGTTGTTATACATATTGCATTGTTGCTTTTGATTAGATATGCTGTGCTTGGTTGCTCCCATGCGCTTTCATTTTTATTGATAATCTGAGTAGAATCAGCATGATCAAGTGTTTGATTAATTTATAGGGTAATGCACATATCTGTAGCTTATAAAGTGATCTCTACAAGTCCAAATTATCTTGCATTATGTTCAAGCTATTATTGCCTTCAACATATTATAAAAAATTACATGATCTTTTGAGACCTCTTACCACAGTATACACATTTTGAGCTAAAATCAGTCAAACTGCCCAAGTTTGTTTCTAGGCAGCTAACTTAACATGTGCATATAAATAGCCAGTTTCGCTAGAGATATTGAGACCAAAAATTGGTATTACCTTTTAGACTGAACAATTTAGTCTACTTCTTAGATCTGTAGTTGTCCACAAAGATGAAGTTAATATTGGTCTAAAACATTAGCAATTTCTTACTTAATATAGAATAGGTGTAGTGTTTCACATAGGTGGGCAACTAGCCATTTATCTTCAGTTCAAAGTAGATTGGTTATTTTGATCCAAAATTTTAAGGTCATGTATTGGTTTAAGGTTCTTTGGTGAAACTGGTGCAAGCACTTTGACTGACTGCGTGTAGAGAGCTCTTTGAGATCAGAATGCATTGAATGCATCGGTTCACATGCACGATTGGAATATTTGTTGATTTATTTGTTTTGTTTTTAAATAATAAACTTTAGCATGACATGGATTGAATGTTTAAGTATATTCGACATTGTCACCAGTTGCTGCCTTGGGAATTGACAATAAAAGTGAGGTTGATTTTGTTAGATTTGAAATTATGGTTGGGCTTGATATATGGGGGAGTGTTTTTTTTATTTTTATTTTCTAATATCAAAGACATCTGTAAATGCATGTATTGTATGTGATTGATGTGCAGTGGACCTTATTGCTTGGGACTGCATCTACTATACACTAATAATATTCTTATTCAAATGTCATCAACATGCTGACAGAAGTGTGATGATAATAATTAATTTTACTGTTGCAGCAAAGTAAAGTTGTCAGCGTGAGTACTTTGTGTATAGAAGAGCCTGGAATTATGTTAATTCTATAAGATAAAAACACTGTGCACTTTGCCTTGTATACCAAGAAATGCTGTTATCCTGTTATAATCAGATATCTTGGTTAACAGGTAAAAAAAACACTGTTAAGATTGAGTCTTTGCAATTAATTCTGACTGTTTATTTTCTGTTGCTAAGTTGCCACAGGGGCCATGGTAAGTGGCAGGACCGATGCTGAATCTCACTTTTCCTACATTGACATGACTCAGTTAATTTGGGATGATGGTGGGAGATTTTGGAGGCCCAGGGGCACAGTGGGAGACAGGTAAGGAGCTCTCTGTAGGCATGACTGTGGGACAAGTGGGAGATTGTAAAAGCCTCTGAAGGAAGGCATGCAGGCCCATAGCCAGCAATTTCAAATGGGGGGTTCTTTTACTGAAAAAAAAAAAAATGGACCTAGATAAAATTTTACCCAGAGGGAACCATTTCCCAGCAAAAAGGGGAGTTCTTTAGAACCCCCTGAACCCCCTGGCTACGGGTCTGGCATGAAACACCTCTTTACAGATGACTCATGATGAAAGTGGAAGACTATAGGTCTGTTACAACTTAGTTTGATCATCCCATGGTCCACATTCTTTACATCATCGTTATCCTGTCTCTACAGCACATAAAAACTGTTATTGTAGGTACTATTATACCAAACATTATTTCCTCTTATATCTTTAAAGGCTGCTTATTTAATCAATTTTAAAGATAAAAAATAAATGTTAAAAGATAACACAGTAAACAGTTTGCTTTTAAAGAAATGCATTTTAACATTTCTATCTCTTGATTGATTTTAGAATCACCATTCAAAGTATCAGAGACCGTAACCTTGAAGCCACCCACCCCAACACCCCAAGAAGATCTGGGTCCCCTGTGTCCCCACCCACCTCCCCCAGCCCCATGAGGGTGACATCTGCTAGGTCAAGGTCAACAAGTGAACCACAGGAGGTCCTAGTGCAGAATCTCAAAGTGAGTTTTTTCTTTTTTTTTCAGACATTAGAACTTGGTTCATGAGGTTTAACTGACATCCATATCTCATTCAAGACATTAAATTTGAAACTCAAAGCAGGCAGTTTCATTTTCAGAGTGACATTCAGCATAGTTTTAAGAAAAAGAAAACCCAATTTAAAGAAACTAAACCTATTAATCTAAAATAATATTTTTTCTTTATAGTTATGCATAACAGCATGTTTTAGTTTTAAGCTTGTATTTTTGTCAAAATTGTAGTATGCTTGTGTGCATATATTTGGAATGGTGGAGGCTTACTGATGAAAAAAAATTATCTTCCATACCATCAGGTGTCAGTCATATCTTAGGAAGAACACATTAACCTACATATCAGTCATCTAATGAGAAAAAGCATTGCATGTTATGAACATGATTTATTTTTACATTATGCTATTATTATACTATTCATATTTAGAATTCTATAAATGTAAAACGTATTTTTATGTTTGAAAAAATGTAGTACTGTGTCCAACATAATTTTGCTTTTTGCGTTATGGTTCCAAAGTCATGCAAAAAAAAAAAAGAAAGAAAGAAAGAAAAAAAAAAGCTTACAGTAACAGTTTTTTAAAGAAGTTAATAGATGTCTACCTAAACACATCAGGTTCTCCCAGTATCCATGTAAATTTAATGGTTTATTATGTCTGACTAAAATTCCCATTAACGCAATCATTACACACACTTGGCTGCTTATCTATTGTGCCCAGTGCAAAAATAATGAAAATAAAACCCATTTCACTGACTAGATGTAGAAACATGGAGTAAAAATGTGTTTGTGGGGGCCGAATTCTAAATACCTTACTGTCCATTATTTAAAATAGTCTGCTACACTAAAGCTGTCTTTTGAGAAGAAACTGAATATGTTTCTAAAATCTTTAGTATTTCTTTGGGCTGTGGGTTGTTGTTTGAGCACACATAATTGCAATGAAGAAAATTTAGCCCCAAGTTCTGCAGAGCCTGTTTCTTCTAAAGATGAAGAGAGGCTAGGACAGCTGATGAGGAGCAATAGGAAGTTAACAACATTCTTGTACCAGGAATTTCAGCAGAATTCTGCAGATTCAGAAAATATTTTATTTTCACCAATGACCATTCTTAGTACCCTGGCCTTACTGTATGGCGGTGCCGATAAAGTCACAAAGGATCAAATGGATAATGTTTTAAAGTTTGGGAAATTCTCATCAAGGAGTCTCCATTCTACAGTTAAGAGCGTGACAGACAGCCTGTACCATAGGAGCAATAAGTACAGTTTACGAGGGGCAACAAGGTTTTATGCTGCAAAAACTGTGTTTGACGAGGACTATATTGACCTGGCCAAGACATTCTATAGGGTCAATTTACACACTGTGGATTTTAAATCAGAAGAAAAGGACTTTTCTGACAAAGAGACAGAGCTAGATAATAATGACTTAGAGGATCTGCGTGCCCGGAAGATCTACGAAATGTTGGAAGCAGAAAAAGTAGACCCAAGCAAAGGAATAGTGTTAATCGCTGCAGTATCTTTTAAAAGCCACTGGGCAGAGAATTTTGATAAATCGAGAACAATGAAGGATATTTTTTCTCTCACAAAATCCAAATATGTCCAAGTTGACATGATGTACTACAAAGGTGTGTTACCTTATGCTTATATTGTTGACTTAAATTGTCATGTTGTAGAAATCCCTTATGCTGACAGACAAGTTAGCCTGTTTATCCTGCTGCCCAAGAGAATCGGTGGTCTTCCAGCAGTGGAGGCAGGTTTAGGGACCAAACTGTTACGTTATATTCCTTCCTTGGTGAAAGAAACTACCATAGAGATCAAGCTTCCAAGATTTCAGTTTGAAAGACATTATACCTTGGAGAACAATCTTCGAGGAATAGGACTAGAGGACATTTTTGTGGAAGATAAGGCAGATTTCTCTCGAATGAACGGCCATATTTGGATGTATGTAGCCAGATTATTTCACAAAGCCTCTTTTACTGTTCAAGAAGACCAAGATAATGATTTTCATGATGAATTTATGCCTAGGCATAAAACTAATGATCCATCAGAGAAAAAGTTTAAAGCGGAACAAAGAATTGGTGTAAATCACCCATTTTTATTTTTCATCAGACATAATGCTTTAGATGCAATACTTTTCTTTGGAAGGTTATCAAAACCTAGTGACATATATGTAAAAGATGAGATATAATCTTACTTGGTATAGTCATTTAGATAATTTATATATTCGTGCCACAGATATTTAAGTGATGGTATATTTTATTTTATGACTTCTGACATTGGAAAATGGGAAATAAAAGTAAAACCCAAACTGTTAATTTTAGTAGTGTTGTCAAGGCACTAGTATCTGTAAGAAGCCATTGAAATGGATTAACCACAGATTGTTTTTGCTGAGGGTTCATTAATTAGTTGTTATAAAAATATGATCATGAAGGGAATCTTTAACAATTATGTGAATGTAATTCTAAAAATATTTTTGCACATCATAATAAGTTAATTAGGAGGGATCACACAACCATTTTACGAATGAAATAATCTTTGACCTACATTAATGCAAAGTATTGCCATCAAGCGAGTTTTTTTTTGTTGTTTAACTACTTTGACAAGTAATTATATTCTATCTACTTACCCTTTTTACTGGGAGTGTAAATGCCTACCTTGGCACTGTTCATTGCAAAAATAGTGGGAATGGGAACTAGATCATTCTGTAAATGCATTAAAAAGATAATGTGCTTTATTACAAAAACTAAAACATATAGAAAGTGTTCAAAATCATATTGATAAAGATGCAATTAAGGGAATTAGTAAGACATGTTTGCGTGTGAAACTAAAACTAACCAGCCATAAGTAAGCTTGGCAGGCAAGGGGATTACTTTTACAGTTACTTATTTCCTGGATTACTTGGCATAACAGGAATCAATAACTTTGCTTGCTGCTCTATTAAACTGCATGGCCAGGGCTGGCTCACTAACTGCATGCTGCATTGCTTGCTTTACAGTCCTCTCCCACCGCAAACAGGCCCATGTCAGCAGTGTTACGGGAAAAATATAACTTGAAATTGGAAATTGATGAGCACACAATCAAAAACTCCAGGTTACTGAGTGGGAAAACAAAATCTGGAAAGTCCAGAGAAAGTGTAAGTTATGTAATTGATTGTGCTGTGATTTTAATATGCCAGAATGATTTGTAAGTCCTTTTTCTTTTTGAATTGCTTTTGTCATGTGCGCACGCATGTGCACACACACATACACACACATTATAAGGTACATCAAGTAACTCTTGAGTAATGTCCTTAATCTTATATTATTTCACATAAAAGAAAGTGATAAATTTCTGTCACATTTATCAAAATTTTTCTTTATTAATTTCCAGTTATTTGAGGATCCATCTGCAGACAGCAGTTTGCTGTTTGACCAGGTCCGTGATGCCATGGACAATGTAGCCAAAACTGTTCACCTCACTGCCTACCAGGTGAGCAGATGTTTCCAATTTTTAAGTAATGTTTAAACATGTAATGTTTAAACCTAAGCATAAAAAAAAAGAATTTCATAAGGTACTAAGTAGAAACACTGCGCTTATATTATATAAGAACAAAATCTCTATGGTATTACTGCGAAGCAGTCCTGCCTTTCCATCCATTTGTACACTTGACCTTAATCTTAGAAATTATTACCTGGACAGACACTGAAGATTTTACTCTCATCTTCAGCTTTGCAATGCACACTTTCTACCTTTCAATTTGACAAACATTAACAAACATTGGGCAGTTTTATCATTTTACATATGTAGATGTGATCTCTTTTCACAACTGAAATTATTGAATAAATCTGTTTCTTAATTTCTTCCAGACATTATCTAAAGGGCCAGATTTCTCTGGCCAGGGCTCCATATCCAGCAGGAGCAACAGCAGCACCATGACAGACAACAAAATAGTACAACAGATATCTCAGGTAAACATTGGTCCTGATGACAGCCATGATGGTATAGGTAACCATGGTGATGTAACTGGAGATGGTAGAGGAGTCACTGATGGAGCGGAGTTTCAAGATGCAAGGAATGTTAAGGTGGTGACTGCTGTATCAACAGCAGATGATGATAATAGTTCCATCTCAGCAGTGCATGCTGCCAATACAGAGGACGGGGGAAGCGATGGTGGTAGTGGTGGTGGATCTTCTCCAAGACAGCCCGCACCCCAGGATAATGAGAAACCTAAAGTGTTACCTCCACCTATTTCAATACCCTCCATCCCCATAGCAAGGAAGGAGTCTGTGACCAGTGTTGGTGCTGGTAGTGAGGTGGCAGAGCCCTCGGCCAGTGCAGTTTCTCTTGAGAGAGAAATGGTTCCTCAAGCTGTGTACAAGGTCTCTACTCCAGAATCTTTTGCTAAACCCACTCCAAGAGGAAAGCAAGGCACACCAAGGTAATTCTCTTGGATGTTTCAAAGAAAATATGACATACAATTTCTTACAAATGATATTTTAACAAACAAGCTTATTATTTACTGTAATGCAAATTATATGCTCTTGTTTGTTGTGAGGAATTTTGACTTAAGTTAATCACTTTTAAAAGTTGGAATTAATTTGTTAATTCATCACATGATACTTTGTTCACAGGCATTGTGGTGTGTGTGTGTGTGTGTGTGTTTGAAATGATTTATCCATTTCCTGCTTATTATTATTATTATAGCAGGCAATCAGCTGCAGTTGGCCGTCGTCCCTTTAGTGCAGTGGATGCGTACAAGTTCATAGTGGCTCACCCCATTAATGACGAGTTTAACACCAACTATCAGAATCTGAGGACAGAGGCCTGGAAGAGAAGCACTGGGGCAAATACACCCAAAAACTGTGAGTATCCAGGCAGAGGTGAAGATTCTGAAATAGGAGATGATAAAAGTGTCAATAAAAGACTAAAAAAAATCAAAAACCTCTGTATTTCTTATCAGTAGGTGCAATCTTTATCAGTAGGTATAAAAATTGCACCCAGTTAAGAGAAAATGTGGTATCTTGCTAACTTCTGTACAGCTGTCTTATATAACCTTGGTTATCTTTTTATATTTGTTATTGTTATTTTAGATTTTTCATTGTTTTATATCAAAATATAAAACTCAGAATATAACTAAAAATAAATCTGTACAATTACAGTAAGCCGTCCCTCTACCCCCCGCCGTCCCAGCAGCCCCCCTCCCCAGCGCCCCACCTCCCCCTCTGCAAGCAAGGATGACAAGAGACCACTGAATGTCCAGAGGGGCAACAGCTGGCTGGCTGGAGGCAAGGACCTGTACTGGGAGGACTATATGAACAAACCTAACACCATCCATGTCCCAGGGTGGAAGGAAGAACTGCTCAACAAACGTCCACACTCTGCTGCTGCTACTAGAGCATTCAGGTAGGTGGGAGGTAGTGGTTGTCATCCTCCTCCTCCTCCTTATCATCATCATCAGAGGTTTTTTCTTTTATGACAAGTGTGTTTGGATTATATGCATGGTTGAAATATTTTTGTTTTAGTTTGACAGTTCCAGTCTGATATTTATCTTTAAGAGAAATGTATATTTTCTGATTATTTTGCGAGATGTCAGGGTGCTTTCAGACATACCATAATTACAGTATGACATAATCTTAACTTTGACAGGTGTCTTATACAGCTTGTCTGCTTTCTTTTACTTTCACAACACTTATAAGACATTTGAGAGTTTTTTTATGCCATTTTACTTTTTGCATGAATACTGCATTTTAACTTTTTTTCAAGAGTTGTTTTACATTATGGCTTGGTTTTGCATGTGGTTTGCATTCTGGTTTGTATTTCAATCAGGAGAGCCAAACCTCCCAGTATTCTCACCCCGTCCTCCATGTTGTTTGACAGAGTCAACAGTAAGTATTTTGGATTGTTTGTGATTGAAGTTTATTCTCCATTCCTCCAGTATTTATTGTAGTCATAAATGAACTCTTTATATTTAAGGGCTCTGAGATCAAATGAATTTTGATATCAGGTTTCATATGTTGTCCATATTATTTATGCTGTACATTAATATTACACTTATTATTATCTTGTAGCAGATGTTTAATACAGATTTGCATCTGACATATAAATACAAAAAATATTAGTGAATAGGTTATAATATATAATGTAATGTTCTTTAAAATTGCAAACCTATTTTCTTGAGGAACCAATATGAATGTCATTTTCACTTATGCACAGATATGTAGTTTATGTGCCATTTTTGAGATTTGATTAATGCTTTTGTCAAAGAAACAATTTAAAAATATTGATGTTGTCAACTTTAAGGCCGTACCCCCCGCCGTACTATCCCAGACTTCCAAGCCTCCAGAGGGTGGACCACAACGTACGGAAGCAGTGGCGGAGCAAGGTACGGAAGTCTCCCCTCTGTACCACCTGCAAAGCTAACAAACTTCCACCAAATAACAAGGAATGACTGGGTCTTTAGATAGAGCTGTGTTTTCATATATTTAGTAGAGATGTGGCCACTTAATTTTCTTTTTTTTTTGCAGTTTTTCTGCATATTTGAATAAACAAATAATTTGTAAATGCTGTATATGAATGTGTCATTACAGTTTTTTTGCATGTTTGAATAAACAAATACTTTGGAAATGCTTGATACAAAAATATTGTAATCCCATGTAAAATATTATTGAAATTTGAAAAAATATTATCTGTAATAGTCCAGATTAAGGCAACATCTCTGCTTTCATATTTGCTAACTAACAAACCAACGTAATTAACCTGCTGGTGGTGGTAGCATGCTATTAGATAACTCATTGATGAACTTAATAATATCCTATAAGTAAGCTTGTTTTACTCTTTTCTGATTATGCAAAGTAACTTGATAGTGAGATATTAAGTCACGGTTTCACAGACATTTATTATTTAAGGAAGATTATGACCCTAAAATATTAAAAATCTTCATAACTTTTTGTCTGGGTAGTTGTGATTTAATGCCTACCAGTACCTCTTTGCTTGTATATGTCATATATAATAAGGCTTACAAGATTGCAAATTTTCTTAATGCATTCAGAAATTTTATTTACTCAAGCTTACTTTTTATTAATTAAATTTTCTGTAATATCCAACTATTAAGTGATTTTCTAACAGGAACAAAATGTCACAAAAGTTTGTCTACATACCCTGTTTACCTGTAACTTATAATGCTTTGCACTGGTGTATTTTATATTTACTTTGTCAATTGTTTAACATTTTTTCTTTATCATCATAAAAATTGCCTTGCTCAATGATATTTGTATGTACCTGCTGGTGCTATTGCTGGTGGAGGTAGTAGACATTTAGCTAATGATACATCATCTGACCTTGCCACATGGATGGTTGCAGGTACCTTTCTCTTGCATTGAGGATATTGGTCTCCAGAATATTGGGAGGGGGGACTTTAGGAAAAGTGTATTGAAGAAAGAGTAAATTGGTATTTTCATATGTTTGAAACTTTCTTAACAAGAAAAGTAATAGCATTTTAGACCTCTATCCTCAAATGATACGTAGAATTATTAACCCTTCTTTGAAGTATTTTAAAATCCCTTTTTCACCAGTTTTCTCAATATGATTCTCCTTAACATAACTATTTTACTAACACCTGCCTAGTTTGAATTGTAATCGAATGCTGATCAGTCACTCTGGTTCACCTGCTTATTCCAGCTTTTTCATCAGATTATATAGTTTTACCCACAGTGTTCTTGATCAAATGTATAACATTAATGATTAATATGCAGAAACATTTAAGTTGTCTCCATTGTAATGCTTACCAGATTCTTTTTCTTTGTAGAATATTTAAATTTGTTCTGGAAAACAGTACTCTTTAGTTACAGATACATGCTAACTTCTGTTTATTTTTGTAGTAATCATTATGTAGTCATACATGTTTTTAAAGATTTTGAACCACTCAAATTAAAAATAAATTGTATTGTCAGTCAGATTTTACTGTAGAATTTCAGAATTTTTTCTTCATTGTTTCCTATTGACCCTCACATATTTATGATGCACAGTTAATGTGGCTATGATATCTATTTGTACAATCACTTAAATTCAGGGAAGTAGATCATGCTCGTCTTTGTTCTACCTGCCTTGACAAGCACCTCCCAAGTTGTCCAAGTAAAAGCTCATACGAGAGACAGGTACAGTTTCTAAGCTCAAAAAATGGAGAGCACATTCCACGACATCAAGAAAGTCAAAAAGATGCAGATGACATGGAGGTGGATATTAGAATTCCGAGCAGTTTGTTAGAATTTGCTCCCTCATGAAAACTGTTTTTTTTTCTTTATGACATTGGGGATGAATTTTTGGCATGGAGTTTTCCATGAAAATATCTTTCAAACGTGTCATTATCCATTTACTAATTCATTCATAACGCCTTATCTAAGTGTTTTCCAGAGCATTATAAAGATTGCCCAGACAACTCTTGTATTCAATTTCATCTTTGTTCTAGTAATTATGGTTATCTGGCTCAAAATTTGCTCTATTTGATGCCCATCTTGAAGGTATCATGGTAATGTGCTACTTGTTATGTTTGAAGTTTTATGAAGAAAATGGCCTGTGGCCATTTCTGATACCTTCTGTATGAAATATGAAAGTTTATCCTTTGTGTATGATTGACATCATAGCTCAGAAATTTTGTATGAATCATGTTTGATATGCAGTAGCAGATGTGATAATGTATAGCTGTTTGTTTATGTATAGCTATTTTAAACAGGCATAGGTTGTGATATAAGTCAAATAAGTTAAACATTTTATTACCATAGCTTGTCTGTGTTAACTTGTAAACAATGCCATAAACAGCTGTCTCAAAGTGATAGTGCCAAATATGCTCAAATGAAAATAAGTAACAGTAGGTGAGGGACACTAAGATATATAAAATACTTATTGATAAATGAATCAATATTTTGATGTAAGAAATCACAAATAAAAAGGAAAAAAAGACCGAAGTGGTCAAGTATTTTGAAACGAATTTCATGAAATGGCTATAAATATCGTATCTAGCTATATCTAGCGCTTGAATTTTAAAAGGCAATCTTGCGAAACAAAAAAAAAAAAAAACATTTGGGTGATGAAAATAACATATAGTAATAAAGATTTTAATAATAATGATGCTCAAATGAATTCCAACTACCCTAAACAAGGCACATCTGGACGTCTAAGCCTGATAGGTACAACGGAACCCCGAAAAACTTGTCCGCTACAAGCTTTAAAAAAATCTTTGTATATTTATATCTCTCTGGACCCATGTACATTTTTTGTTATATTTCTTAGTGTCCTTTTGCCAGTTATCACCGGAGATTTGGACCATTGATCAACGTTTTATCCTGAAACAAATAATAATACAGAACAAATTTATCTGTTTGTTTTTAAGAAGTCGGCTAGAAAGTAAGGCTGAACGGAGAGTGTTGTATTGTTTTTTCATTTAAAAAGACTCAAACTAAAGAAAAATAAGCGATACTTAATTGTCTTGGTTGTGATAAAATATTTGTTTAGTATATGTGATAACTGCTGTTATTAGTAATGATAAGTATTATTATTAACGTTATTACTGTTATTATTATTATATGTTAATATAATATTGATGTGTGATTATCCCTTAGAATAATGTTTAATTTACTGAATGTTCATAAGTTTTAGTCGTGTTATACATTTTTAATTTATTAAAGGAAATAAGAAAGTTTTTAGTTTCGTATGTTACATTCGTTTTACAGCCCTGAATTACATATTGTGTAAAAAGGATTCAGCCAGCAAGCTGATATTTAGTTGTTTTCTGAATGATTTCAAATAAAATGTTTATGAAATATTAGTT